GATGGAGAGTGATTAAAAAAATCTTCTAGAGAAACTATCCCCAAGTGATTAAGATCGGCCAACACCAACCCAGTTGAGGAAAATCCCAAAAGATTCCATTTGTTTATCTGTGTCCAAGAAACCCAAAACGAGAGTGCAACAACTCTGACCCACAAACTTTAAGGATTTCTTTTAGAGTAACGGTCCTGTCCAATGACCATTCAAGACAAAAAAATTCTGCAACATTCTGTGAAGAAAACCATTTCACATGAAACACAACCAGAATTACAACATAAATTCCAAGAGAAGTTCCATGAAGATATGCTTCAGGTACAGGCTGCCCTAATATAGAGAGCAAAATAGTTTCCTGAAAGAGTCATAAAATGCTCTTGCAGTCTTTGCTGCCAACTCTCTGCACTCTACAATCTGGTTGAATGCTTTACACAAACCCTTGAACAGATTACATATAGAAGCCCACTCCTGGATCTTCCAATCATAAATGTCCTTTCTAAAATCTAAGTTCCAACCTCTGAGTTTTGATTCCATATTGCAGTAGCTTTCCCTTGGTAAGTTACAAAATACATAGTAGGGTATCTCGCATGCAAATAAGAAATCCCCACCAGAGATCTCACACTACTAAACTGTCTCTGTTTCCCTTTGAAAGTAATATTCGAATTAAGCAAATTCCAACATTTTCCAATGTGAGCCAGGGATACTTGAGCTTGAAATGAGAAATATCAGACTGTTAAGAGTCCAAAACATACTTCTCCAGCTAACACTATTCAAAAGGAATGTCAACTTTTGAGGCCATGTACAGTCCAAACCATACTTCTCCGGATAACCTTGGAAGAAACCTCCACACCCACTTAGGTAAGAGAGCAAGAATCATATTTATGAGGCATTGTATAGGGGCTAAAGAAGCCGTTGCCAATTCGTTTGAAGGAAATAAGGGGGAAGCGGGGAACAACAGCATCTTCAGTATTACGAATTGAAGACAAAAACTTCAATCGAATGAATGAATTGTCATTTCCATGCCAATGGGTATGACTCCAAATTTTACCACTCAAACCCAAATATTGAGCAAGTTAATTGGTCGGTTAATCGTTTCGTTTTGTGTGTATCAAAATTGGTATGATAAGTTCAATATGATAAGTTAAATCGAAGAGATGCATCGATAAAAGAGCTGAATGTACTTTTTTCACAATCTACGACTATTAGGCAAAGAAACATAAGAAATTTAGTTCAAACTTGATTACAGTAATCCAAATTTGATCTAAATAATTATTTCATGCACTTACTACTATTGCTTGGTTTAAACCACTAAATGGTTGAGTTCCATCACCTCAACCCCAGCCTTCATATAGTATGTCTTAAAAATTATTAATACCACAGGATTGGACCTAAACCTATGATCCTCCCCATAAATTTCTTCGATACTATTAAAAACATTCCCTAACATGGAGAGTAAATACATTTTAAAAAAAACTCCCGAAATCCACAAACAAAATTACCGTATTTGAAGCCCCAGCTCTGGGACGCTCAAAAGCCGTCAACGAAGCAGACATTCTCACCGATTCACACTGAACCTACGGCATCGAGAGAAAATCCAATGCAAGTATAACAATCACTCAAACCACTCAACATTCACTCCAAAAACCAGTCCGATAGCTTCCCCAGCCCTCCAACCACTTGCCTCAACTCGGCAGCATCAATCACCGCAGATACAACAACAATGCCAGATCAGAAAGCAGCTCCGGCGATAAATCAGTAAGATCCAACAACAAGACTGAAAGAAACCCGATCCCTAGGGCTGAGATTTGGATACAAACACAAAAACAGAGCACCGCAACCAAAAACCAACCACCACCTCATTTCATCTCCAAATTTCCCTCCATTTTCCTCCTCCTCCGATTACATAAACAGATAAGGCAACGAACTGACACCAAGCGACAGTAATCCTCCAATTTCGTTCGCTTCAGAGCAAGAATTTGCCGCACAATTTTGGTTTCGATTTTGCATTTGGATTAGGTAGATAGAACAATAGTGGTTGTGGTAGTAATATGGAGAATTTTAGAGAGAGAAGGAGAGTTACTTTGCCTTTCACCTAATTTTGGCCGTGAGGAGAGATATGGAAAGAGAAGGAATTTGGACATGAGAGTTGCGGTAGTTGTAGGGTGCGGTCGTGTGTAGTCAAGTCCCGGTCAAAGTAAATTTAAAAACCAATCAAAATGAGCCACGTACGCTTGAGATTAATATTTGAAAGCCCTTGAATATAGGCTCCAATTATGGGGTAATTTGGATTCTTATTATTGAGAGGCAGATACGTTAAATTTGTCACATTATTTTGACTCTTAAAAGCCACTGAAAAGGGACGGAAAAAAAAAATTATATTTACTTTTAAATATTTAAAAAAAAATTAAGTGTCAAATTTAATACTTAAATACGAATAATAAATTGTTTATTGTTTAATCAGATAATTAAATGTAACGTCTGAATTTGAATATCATTTTACGAGATTTTAATTACCGTTCTCTTAATCATCATGACTATAACTACTTTATTTTCTTAAGAGAAATCTACATAAAAAAAACAACTAAAATATAAAAAATAATCGCATATATTTTTTTAATGGAACAGACAAATTTATCATAAAAATAATTTATAAGCTGTAAATATAAAAATAATTTATAAGCTGTAAATATAAAAATAATTGTAAAAAATGTCTATAGTATTTATTGAAATTAAATTCTAACGTTTTTTCATCAAAATTTTAATGAAAAGAGTATTTTTTGCTTTTTTTTAATTAAATAGTTAGAAAATAATGGAGTTGCCCAACAAGTATCGTATTTAATGTAAATAATTTGCAAAATGCAACATTTAAATATACAATAAATAACAGAGATATAATAATTGCTTTTTGTTTTATTTATTTATTTATTTTCGTTGGGTTGTTGTTGTCTTTTATTTATTATTATTATTATTATTACTGTAAACGGAACAGAGATTTTAAAAATAAATAAACCAAACAAGATGACGTGCATATAAAAAAATAGAAAATAAAAATAATAAAACCAACGAGTCGAAATATCAATTTAATTTAATCCCGCGCTTTGGTCAAACCGTGCACTTGGTTCATTTAATGGCTAAAAAGGCTAGGAGTCCTAAAAGAAAATAATTCAATGACGTGGCAGAATATTACTGGTTCTATTATAAATAAGTGTACTACCGAAATGCACGGGATTACCACCGCACTAGAAAAAAAAGAGCTAATTATTAAAAGAAAAAATAGAAGTGGCTAAAAACAAACAACGCGCGGGATTATGGCGGGTGAGATTCACGACAAAGAGAAAATCTGCGTGGGGCCCAGTCGCCGAAGGGATGAAAAACGACGTTTCGGTGAGTTACCTTTGGGCAGAAGAGCGTGACGGAGAAGCCTCCCACACGGAGACGGAGCAATTTCTACTGGCTTGGCCGGTGGCCGGTCGGATGCCGCTCTGGACTCCTTGTCCAATTCGGTTACAACGCGATAAAGTTACCTTGACGTTTTGTCTTTTACGGTTCTTATTACCTGTCGCCTAGGTTTTCTCACACCTTTTTTATTATTTAATTTAATGATTTCTTTTAAAAAAAGGTAAAAGTTTTAGTTATTAAATTTTTCACCTAGAAATTCTAATAATTAAATATAAAATTATTCATATGCTGTCTCAAAATATTTACTAATATTTCTTTTTGTAATTTGAAATCATTACTCTGTATTCTCTCGTCCCTTAACGTCTTGAGACAGGAGTTGGGGACATCCATACGCGCAGCCAACAACAGCACTATCGTTCAGACAGTAAATTAGGTGTGAAGATTCAACTAAAAACATTTTGGAGATGGATAATAGCTAAGCATCGAGTTGTGTGGGACAGGGTCAGGTCCAATTAATTGGGCATTTATTTGAGAATTATATTGTAAGGTCAACAAAAATTATTATTATTATTATTATTATTATTATTATTATTATTATTGTTATTATTGTTATTCTACATATATTGGTAGCAGAGGATTTCGTATTGTGCACGATCCAGCTGTAAAGAACAATGTTACCGCTGTTTCATTACTATTGCAATAATACTCAACTAAGGCGGCCGCCGTTTGATCTTTTTTTTTTTGTACAAATTATTTAAAAATTGCATTTATCTTGGTCGTTGGATTGCCTTTTGCTGATGTCATAAAACAATTATTTATTTTATTTTCCTTTTAATTTTATGTTATTTCTCCTCTCGCTTCCATCTTTGTTCTTAAATCGAAGGGAGAGGCGATGTCTTACGTAAAAAGAAATAGACTATAGAATGATTGAGATAAAAATAACTTGTGAACGTTTTTTTACTAATTTGTGTAGACATTAGGCTCGTGGATCTATACTTCTAAGATTATAAAATAACCAATAAAAAGAGAAAAATCAAAATTAATCGATATATTTTGTGAGACAATTGAAAATGAAACGAAAGACTAAATAAATCATGGATTGAGCTAAACCCTTTTGAGATCTCGCTTAAAAACAAGAAAAATAGTTATAGTGAAAGAATAATATTTAAAAAAATTATTTATTACCATCGATAAAATGTTATTAACTTGTTTTTGGATATTCGTATTTTGATTAACATTAATGTGAATTTGAGAAATAATACTATTTTATTATTTTTCGAGTTATTTATGACATCGTATTCCGATACTCAGCACAACAAATTAAATATTATTATTCATTTTAAGAACGAACTTTACCATTCGTATTATTATTGAAATTAGAATGGTAAATTTCATAAAACATTATTGAAATTATTATAATGTTTTACAATATTAATAAAAATTATATTGATTTATTTATTTATTTATTTGTTAGCTAATTAAACCAATAAGAATACTTTTAAAAGTTTATTAAGGGTTTTATTGAAATCGGAAAGTTTTATTTTTATTAATTTAGTCGGGTTGAAAACTATTTTACAATTAAAAAAAAAAACAAACAAAAAACCAATCTTTGTCGCTTCAAGCATTCAAACCCCGCCCAGTTCTTTTGAGTTTCATTTTCGACAGGAGAATAGCTGTGGCTGAATCGCTTCCAAGTTCCTCCAGAAGTTTGATGCTGCGATTTGCTCCAAATCTTCTTCGCAGAATCTCAAACAGTGCCACTTCCACGATCCATTTATATCGATTTACCCATTGCACGTTCTTCGAACACCATCGGCCACAGCAACAATTGCTGTTACGCTTCATCACTGGCTCCGCTTCGAGCCCTAGCCTCTCGATATGGAGGAGGAAGAAGGAAATGGGCAAGGAGGGTCTGATTGTAGTTAAAGAGCTCAAGAGGCTTCAGTCCAATCTCATTCGTCTCGACCGATTCATTTCCTCCCATGTCTCTCGCTTGCTCAAGTCCGATCTTGTCGCGGTTCTCGTCGAGCTTCAGAGGCAGAATCAGGTCTTTCTGTGCATGAAGGTATGCCTTCTTTTTGCTCTCTCCGTCTATCTGTGTTGCTCTCCATGTCATCTCATACATTGAATTTCTAGGGAGATAAAGTTGAAAGGTTCTCTCTGAAGTTCCATCGGGGAAACATGAATTCGATCAATCTATTGCTGTAATGTGTTGAGTTCATTAGGAATTTTTTTATTTGGATGCATTACTTATATTGGAATAATCTTGAATTTTGTCGAACCGTGGCATTTTCGGACTGGGTATGCTTTTCTTTGATTTTTATTCACCTCTGGGCTTGTAGGAAAATTTTCCGTTCCAAGAATTTGATGATTGCATTTTGAAGAGGTAGAAAGTTATGGTGAACGTTGTGGAAGTATTGATGGAGAATATAGATAGCCCAGTATAGCTTGCAAACCATCATTTAGGTCAAATAGAATTAGGAACACTTGCTGTGCTAGCCTTCGGCAGCCTATGGACTTGTGAAATGGAGAAAAGTTCCATACATCGAGATCAGGGTAGGAATAGTTCCCTCAACTGGTTGGGTGTGTAGGAAATATAATCTTAAAGGACGATTTCAAAAAAGTAGGCTGAATCCCAACAGGTTAGTTGAGACTATGGCCGTGAACGAGGATATTGCCGCTTGTATTGACTGATATAGCCTATAGCATAAGCCACCAATGAGGATTTCAAGTTCGAAGTACTCAAATTGCCACTCAATGTCTTGAATTATACCTTGAGGATAGGGTGGCTCTCTGGGGTCGGGTAGTGATAGACTCCTATTAAATATGTATAAAAGAGAAGGCATATGAGGAAATAGAGTGGGGAGAAGGAAGTTGTTACGAGTTTGTTAGAAATGGGCCCAAAGGAAGCTTTAAATGAGTGGGCAGTGAGTTTATGTATGTAGAGTGCAGGAGAGAGCTGAAGGGATATCTTTTTGCGTAATAATTTTGTGTGAGACTTGTGGGAGAGAGGGGAAGCTCTAGAATTCTTCCCCTAGCATTGTACGCTTATTGATAAATATACCCACTTCTTATAAGCCTCAGCAGAGTGGAGTTAGCTTGGGATTAGTCTTGAAGATAGCTCAGTATACGTCTTAGAGATCAGTTGAATGCACGGAGTTGGATGCACGGAGCTTAAAGCTTTGTTACGTCTTATTAGAAAAACAGTAGTGGCAATATTCCTACTTGGAGCCTAATGCTTTTGACGAAGAATTTTTGCAAAGCCAAAACCAAAAATAACTACTAGATCTTTGGGAGAAGTGGGGGATCAACTCCATTAGATATATATAGTTATTCAAGAGTTAATTTGTCATTAAGATTTTCTTTGGAAGCCAAGATCCAAAAATGAGGAGGTAAAATTCTAGCATTGATGAATGAGGACCTCCTTTGAGGAGAGCAAGCAGAGTCTGGAGAATAGAGACGAAAGAGGTGAATCAACTTTCCTAATGTTGTACAAAGTAGAGTATTCTTGCCATTATGGACACGAACTCTATTTCTGTTAGCTAAATTAGATTTAGGCTCCAATATCTGATCTGACACATATATGCAAGCAATAATCATCCTCTCAATAGAGGATTTTTTGTTTAAAAATCTCCATGTCCAGTAACCAAGAAAGAGACGTTTCTCTCTTTTAGATTGCCAAGAGTCCAAAACCACCAAACTGCTTGGGGAGCTTCATATTATTGCCGTTTTTCGGACTGCGAGTTTCCGAACTATTGGATGTCACAGGATCAGGAGGAGGGTTGCTTTTGGCGGAGAAAAATTGGAAGTATGCTAGCCTTTTTTCATACACAACATACACTATAACAGTAGTCCTTTGTTTATCTGGAGGCGAGGCATGAATAAAAATGTGTCCATGAGTGATATATATTAGAAACAGAAATTATAGTATTATATTATTAATTGGGGATGAAATCCACCATGACATAAGATGAATTACATAACTAGGCGCGTATGTCTCCTTTAGTGACAGTAAAGTACTTTAACAAATAAAAATCCACTTATGTACCTTTAAGTATAATAAATAAATAAATTCTACTGATGCTTACTTTATTGCCCTTTTGTGTTGAAGAGATATTGAACGACAAGTTTGAAAATATTAGATGGTCGGAAACAATTTGGTGTTTGTTTGTTTGGTTACCTATTGGCAATCAGGGCCTACCCTCTTTCCAGTTATATTTCTTTTAAAATTATGCATGCCTAGGACCTTATATCCTAAAAAATTTACTCTGTTCTTGTCTTGGTAATCTACTCTATTGTCTTGGAGAATAACATTCTCCAACTCTTGTAGCTTGTTATTTTACAAAGGCACCATTTATATTTTTTTTAAATTGCCCCTTTTTAAGTTGATAGAAACCTTTGCTTTTACCCCCATTGATTGCTTTGTTGACCCTTTCTTGCCCCTTCAGTTGTATAACGTGGTTCGTAAAGAAGTATGGTACCGTCCCGACATGTTCTTTTATAGGGACATGCTCACGATGCTTGCAAAAAATAAAAGGGTGGAAGAAACGAAGCAAGTTTGGGAGGATCTAAAAGGAGAGGGAGTACTATTTGACCAGCATACTTTTGGAGATATCATGCGGGCATACTTGGATAATGCAATGCCCTCGGAGGCCATGGACATATATCGTGAAATGAGGCAATCTCCTGATAGGCCATTATCTTTACCTTTTCGTGTCATATTGAAAGGGCTCGTTCCATACCCAGAATTGAGAGAACAAGTTAGAGATGACTTCTTGGAGCTTTTCCCTGATATGATCGTCTATGACCCACCTGAAGACTTGTTTGAGGAAGATGAAGATAGGTTCAAGAGTGTAAGATGATCGAGGAAATGGCTGATACGATAGATTCTTTATTGTGTTTTTATACTTATAGTTGCATTTAATAGGTTTTTAAACTTTTAAAAAATTTATTAGGTACTTCATCGAGTTGGTATGTGAACTTTAAAAGTGCCTAATAAAATTCTAAACTTTCTTTTAGATACAAAATATACATTCTACTATTCGGAAATCCAATTGTGTGTTTATTTAGTTTGTGAATCACTTTTAAACTTGAGAAATCTCCTTGTCTGTGGAAGGTCGGAAACGAACTTGTAGTTTAACAGGTTGGGATCATGTAATCGCTCGATAGGATACTCGCCTGTCTACTATGTTCGGTGATCCTTTTGCTGATTGATACCGTCTCAAAGCATTGCTCATTTTTGCCATATTTGTACTTTTTATGAAATTTTACATTTTTAATGCAATATAACTTCTCAATTTGGGTAAAATTTGAATGAAATTAGATAGAAAACATGAAAATCTTAGCTGTTTTATACAAATTTCTTAAACAGGGGGCAATTATGAATACTATATGGGTAGGAAGATAAGAGAGCAATGATGATAGTACACGAGAAATGAAGTAAAGCAGTACAATGAGGATGAAAGGAGAGGAAGTACGAAGTAAAGGAATGTACTACAGATTTTCTCAAGAGGAAGAAAGGAAGTGTAGTACATATTTTCCTTCCCAAGTTTAGGGTGTAGTACTCAAACTAAAAGCTTCCCTCCCCCATCCATCTTCTATAAAAACACATAAGCATGGAGAGCAAACCGATATTGAAGAAGCGATTAGAGGTAGAAGAATCCTACGGGGGCTGCCCGAGACCACATGTCGTTGCACTTAGTATCTCGTGATATGTGTTCTCAGGTCGCCCCTGCAGACTTCTTATCTACCGTTTTTATGTTTTAGATTCAGAGTGGATTGAGTTCATTTATGGTTTCCTCTTCCTTGCACACTTCTCGCCTTCCGTTTTTATGTTTTAGATTCAGAGTGGATCGAGTTCATTTATGGGTACTTACTCTGACCGACTTCTTGTTGTTTTTATGTTTCAGATTTAGAGCGAATCGAGTTCATTTATGGGTACCTACTATTCACTTTCTTTCCTCTTTACTTTTTTTTCTCTTCCTCGATTCTATTGGTTGCTCTTTCATTCATGTAAAAAAACTTGGTTGTAATTTGTGGGATCCGAACTTTGTAAGTTTTAAAAATTAAAACTCCGAAAGGAAAAAAGATTTACTTAGTACAGTTTGATAACCAACTTAAATGGGTTTCTAACTTTTTCCATCTTAATTGTGTACCAACGTGTGTATCAATAATATATTTAGAATACTTTATGTTTATATTTGGTCATTTAAATACAAAAAATGTAGAAGTCATATAATTGATATACTAAATTATACCACTAATATACCATAGGCTTGTGATACACCATTAAAAGTAAAATTCAAAAAAAAAAAAAAAAA